GACTTCTAGTACTAAGTTGAGTAAAAGTGGTGAGAGTAGACATCCTTGTCTTGCTCCTGACCTTAGGGAAAAGTGCTTAGTTTTTCACCATTGACTCTGATGTTAGCTGTGGGTTTTTCATATAGATTTTATCCTTTTCAGGTATGTTCCCTTTAAACCCACTAAGAAGAAACTCGAGAGTTTTTAATATGAATGGACGTTGAGTAGTATCAAATGCTTTTCTGCATCTGTTGAGATGATCATGTTTTTTGTCGTTCCAGGGTGTTTTCAAGTTCAATCACTGTGTCACTCAAGGGCATGTGCAGCTGAGAAGACCACCTTTGGTAAGTGCAAGCAAAGAGTGGGAGTGGCCTGAGTTACTCATGGATGCTGCTTTCCCAGTGAACAGCCTACCAGTGACGTAAACCATCAGAACCTTTGTATTTTTTTCAGGGTGTGAGTTTAGGATATACAATGTGATTTAATACATGTTTATATTGTGAGAGGATTACCACAATAAGGTTAATATTTCCAACACCTCATATAATTACCTTCTTTTTGGTATATGGTGATAAAGTCTACTCTTAACTATACTGTATAATGTACCTGAGAGTTAACTATCGTCAGTATGTTGTACACTTGATCCCCAGAATTTATCTTAATTTATAACTGGAAGTTAACCCTTGACCAGCATCTCCCCATATCTCCTACCCTCCAGGCCTGGGTAACTACAGTTTTTCGTTCTGAGTTTGCCTTTTTCAGAATCCATATGTAAATGAGAACATACAGTTATTGCCTTTCTCTTATTCCATTTAGTATAAGACCCTCAAAGCTCATCCATGTTGTTGCAACAGGCAGAATTTCCTTCTTTTTCATAGTTGAATAATATTGGTGTGTGTGTATTTCCATTCTTTATCCATTCATCTGTTGATGGGCACTTAAGTTGTTTCCTTGTCTTGCCTATCATGAGTAATGCTGCAATGAACCAGGGAGTACAGACTTCATTTTCCTTCAGATATATACCTAGAAGTGGGCTTGCTGGATCATAATACAGTTGTTTTTAATTTCTTGTGGCCTCCATACAGTTTTCTGTAGTGTTTACACCAATTTATATTCCTGCCAACAGGCCATGAGAACCCTGAGTGTGTATTCAGCAGTTAGTGGATGGAGGTCCCAGGATTGGTTGAACAGTTTGATGCTATTATGGATTTAGGATCTTGTCTTTTTTCTACTCGGTCATTCTACAGACTGGCCTTTATTATTCTGGTTTAAAGTCGGCATTATGACAGTCACGTTGGCAAACATTACCAAATAATTGGGGTAGTGCCAACAGAAGGATAGGGACAGGGGCATAAAAGATCTTTTACCACATGCAGTTTAATCTTTGACAAAGTAAATTAGGGGAACAACCCTTAGTCACAGCCTCTCTGACATCACGTGGCACTGGGCAGCACGACCAACTCAGGTTAATCCCCGCAAAGTGTAGACTGTCCCGAATCACCACTAAGGACCGGGGCTCAGGTGGCCTAAACCGAATTGCGTGTCACGCTGCGCAGGTTTGCTGCTGATAAACAGCCACTTTCTGTGTATTAACCAGTTCTTACAGGCTTAGGTACAGCAGGGTCTATCCGACTTCAAGCAGTAGCATTTTGAGAAAATTATAAACTGTGCATGCATAAGAAGGGTAAACCTTCTCCAAGTGACCAAATCTCAGGTTTCCAGCTCTGGCTCAAGCGACAGCAACATCAGGAAGCGCACCGCAGTGAAAATGGTGTGGGCGCGGGGAGGCGGACCCCAGTTCATGTCCAGATTCCAGTGCTTGTGAGCCTCAGTCACCTGGGGCAAGGTGCTGAAGCCCCGCCCCTCCCTTTTCTCAGTTGTACAAATAGGAAGGTGTCTTTCATGTAAGGGAGCTGTGAGGATTCAATGAGATAGCGAATGGAAACCATACAGACGTCTGATGGTCAGGAAGTACAGTGGGGTGGCGGGGGTTGGTCCTGGTCGGAGCACGTGCATACACAGTGGTTTCAGAAACACTCCCTGCCCTCCTAGAGCTTGAGGGTAAGGGGAGCAAGCATTTGTGAAGGAAGTGTGGTAGCCGAAGAAAGGGCATTAATGCAATTAAGGGACATTTCTCTTAAATCCAGGTAAGTTATACTGCATACCAGTGGCTAAAAATAAAAATTTGTTCACTTCCCTATTGAGGATTACTTAATTAGGTCCTGATGTATCACTTGGAAGTAATGGATGCTTTTTACATAATAAAACCATCCTAGGAATTATTAGGAGACTTCCAGTGAGTTTGCTAATGGAGAACTGTTTATATGGGTGATCATTTATAGAGCGATTTCGAAATTGTGTGCTGTGAGAATGATCACTGTAACACAGGAGCTCACAGTTATTGAATATTTCTGTCCCAGGGTTTTGTTCCAAGTACTTTACATGGATCAGCTCTTTTGTGCCCACAACCATCCCATGAGGTAAGCAGATTATGTCCATTTTCCTGCTCAGAGAGGTTAAAGGACTGTCTCAAGGCTGCAAAGCTGGTAATAGGCAAAACCAGAATTTGAACTCAGGAAGTGTGGCTCCAGATCCCAGGCTCCTGAGTGCTACCCTGTACAGTGTTTCAGCGGAAGCAGAGCTGGGGCTCATTGGCTCAACTGTTGAAGCAAGACCAGCGCTAATGAGAGCGTGTACCTAAGCAGGTAGCCATCTGTTCTCAGGTACAGCTAAATAAAAAAGCTGAGTTGTGCCTGACTGGAGTTCAGGAACAGGATGTGGAGAATGCTCTAGTTCCTGATGGGGAGGAGTGGGACAAGGGACGATCCCATCATGGATGGGCCCTGACTGTCCAACCCCCCCCCCCTTATTTCTCCTGGGGGTCCCATGGGGAAAGCCCAGCTATGGACCACCCTCAGGTTCTTGGCCAGGCTGGAGGTGGCTGTCACTTACTAACAGGCCTGAGAGGCAAGGGATGGTGACTAGGGGATGGACACGTCCTGGAGGAGGAGCTGTAAAGAAGGATGTCCCCCCAAGAGCTCGGGGACCAGCGTGACCCAGGGAGTAGGACCCACAGGCAGAGAGGCCGTCTCTTTAAATGGCTGGACTGGTGAAGTCCGTCTGTCCAACAACCTTGTTAAGACCAGTAACTTATTGATGGAAACAAATATGAAGTTTAATTTTAAACATGGCAAATTCAAATAAACCATTTGGTATTAGAGTAGAAAACAGTGTTTGTTCAACCACAAGAAACACTATCCTAAAGACCCAAGTGCAAGAACATTGTGCAAGTGCACATGTCCTCTGAAGGTACTTTATTAAGATCAAAGGTTTTCCATTACATTTATTTAGAAATCCTTAGCAGTCAAAAAGAAAATAAATAATAGAAATTTAGACCTTCAAGAAGCTTTTACTAACAGTTTTTTTTAAATCTGTAAAGATTACAGGTGTGTCCATTTTAAGTTATTATGATTCAGATACATTCAATCATTATATAATACCAGGAATGTCAGCCTTACAGCTATTAAGAACGTCTATATGAGTAAGTAAAACAACGGGAAAAAATATTTCAATTTCACCTTTTTCTTTTTAATGGACTCCAGTTGGGATCTCCAACTGGTGATCATGGGAATACAGAATTTTCTGATCTTGGATTTTAAATATATGGACTTAAAAATAAAACATTCCTCTTCTCTCAAATAGTGGCTGACATGGTCTTGGGAGCCGGCCGAACTAGTACAGTGAGGGGCACCGTGTGCGTCTCCTTGCTGAAGGAGGAGGGGGTCTGGCTGCAGACGCAAGTCTTGGGCCTTCTGCAGTAGTTATCAGCGAGCCCCTGGCACTGCTTTACTCAGTTTCTAGATATCAGAATGGCCATGTAAGCATCACTTGCAAAGCCATGTACCTAGTATTTCCCAAATTGCTAAGGGGCATCTTTTCATTAAAAACAAACAAAAAAACCCTTGTTTAGTCCTAGTGTGAAAAGGGAGAGAGGTCTGGACACTTACATTTCGTAGTAACACCCCATCGCTACCAACAGCCACAAGGACTCTGTTTCCACCCCGCTCCGCTACCCTCTACCCCCGCAGTAAAGAATTTGGACGCCGAAAGTATTCAGACAATTGCCTAGATAATTAATTACACATTTCCCATTACTCTTTGTAGAGGAGATTTTGATTTACAGGAGATTTTTAGCCAGCGTTCAAAGAGGAGTCTCCTTTGCCCAAACTCTGTGTAAGACTTCTATTTTCTTAGAGCAGCCCTATAACTTTAAGTACGGCAGCCCTCTTCCCCACTCTTTTAAAAAACTAAATGGCTTGCTGTTGGGTTTATAAACTTAGAACTCACTGTTTGGATCATGTTAGGTAACACTTAGTCTGACTGTTTTAGTGTGCATGTGTATCAAGGCCATTGCAGTAGTTTTTGTCTCTGTTTCTAACATAAACTTTGACATATCTGAAGGAAACCCAGCAGATAGCGCTACCAAATGCGTGGTGCACGTATAACACTTGAGGGTCGATCTGTGTATGAACAAAGGTCAAATATTTACATGGAATGTTGACCCTGACTTATAAAACTATTTTAAATTATGACATCTTTACATACAATTTATGAATAGCTCCATTTGATTATTAAAAAAATATGCCTTTGAGAGATTTCATAAATATATAAAATTTCACTACATTCTATTTTTTCTTTAAACATGACATCTAAACTCTCTTTACAAATCAACAAAAAATATTTTCTGTTTGAAAGTCACAGATGCAATGATTTTTGATTGGCAGGGTCTTAGTGCATGCAAGAATGGCAAGACATGTTCTCTTACACAACTTACGGCCCTTTCTAGTATCTTGAGCTATGTGATTTATTTGCTGAAGTTCAGTAGCAACAAGCAAAAATGAGAACCCATCTAAATATTTATAATACAGAGTCTTTCTTATAATTCTTTAAAAATGGTAAGATTAGGATGGCACCTGACTAGTGTTAAGAATTATTTTGATGATGAAGAGGTAAGTTAAAATCAATTTAAAATCAATTGCACATGTGAAAATTGATCACATTTTAACTGTGTTGGTAACAGGTAAAACACCTACTTTTGGAATAGGAATCACATTCTTATGATTTATTGGATGGTGACTGCAGAAATCCTGTCTGATGATTTACAAATAAAAATGTCCTTTGTAATCCATGACTTGCCCCAAGAGAATACCAACCTTACTTACAAAGACTAATCCCATTAAGGAAGGGCTTTTAGTGACAAATATAATCATTTTAAAGTTTTACCTTCCCTCATTAAATATTTGAGACACCGATCCATAGTCCTAAGAGGCCTTCTCAAGCTATGACATGCAGGCCACTCACTAAGGCAAATGTGTCATAATTCCTTAAATACACTGACTATATTGTAGATATGTAAGAAAAAGGTTGCGCTTTTAGAATAGTAAGAGGATGCCTTACTGTCAGCCCAGGTGAGCCTAGTGACCCATCCGAAGAAGGGCAAAGCTGTCCTGTTTGCCTGGAGCTGCTCACGGCTGTGAAGGTCATACCTTCAGCTGTGAGCGTGCAGACTTGATGGAGGGACCACATCTGAGACCCAACGAAGCACAACTCCAGTATCAATTCCCTGGCTGTTTCTCCCTGAAAAGTCCAGCCTCCTCTTGGAGATACAGCTGTATGTTAAAGACAACCAAAAGGTTCAAAAGCTCTGCCCAAAAGATGGTACTATGCAAATTTTGATTCTGGATCTTCTATTCAAATACTGTGCTTGAAGTAAGGCTGGAGAAAGATACAAACAAAACCAACATTCAGTTTTAAGCAAGACTGCATGTCTACAGCAGTGACATAGACTAACAAACCCTGCCACCAGGACAGTAACTGATTTCATCATGCACTCTACAAAACGCTGATCGTGGGAGTTTCCCTTAGTTACGAATGTAACCAGCTCACTGGAACCCAGTGGGCCTCTGTCTCTAATTTGTCAAAAGTTGTTTTCAGCTCATTGAATGCCACGGTGAGGTCATCATTTACTATGATTTTGTCAAAAAGATGACCATACTGATTTTCCATTATCTGTGCAGATTTAATCATTTCCTGAAAGTCTTCTTCCTGCAAAAGGAAATATTAAAAAAAAATTTTGGTTAACCAGGCAATTATATCACTTTACATGGATGCAGACATTTCCATAACCGGTTTATCAAATGCTATCCTGTGTTTTTTCTCTCAGCCACAAATGAAAATGACCCTCTTGACCTACAATTTCTTCAGACGTCATAACTTCATAACTCAACTGCTCACGCAAAGTTCCCACCTATCGTGAATTTCAGGATTATCACTCGCTCATCATTACAGGAATACTTCAGTCAACAGAATAGGAAGATCTAGTCATAGAACCACAGAAAGCCATTACCATGCAATCACTCAAAAGGTACGTACCTAAATACAGTTCTGCTTTTATCGAGTTGTGGATCATACCATCTACTACACCATGTCTTCTGAAGGTAGTGGGGCTCCCGCATGCATAATTTCAAGCACCACTTACATTTTCTTTTTTTTTTTTTAATTTTTTTTTTAAAGCTTTTATCTATTTATTTTTACAAAGAGAGCTCACAAGTAGGCAGAGAGAGAGAGAGGGAAGCAGGCTCCCCGCTGAGCAGAGAGCCCAATGCGGGACTCGATCCCAGGACCCTGAGATCATGACCTGAGCCGAAGGCAGCGGCTTAACCCACTGAGCCACCCAGGTGCTCCACTTACATTTTCTTAATGAGCCTCACTGTACTTACTGTGAAAGGCTTTGCAGCACCTTGGTCATCTCTGCTTGAAATAATCTTTGCATTTTTTCTTGTCTCCCTCAAGCGCTCTATTGATGGAGGCTTTATAAATATCACGTAGGGCTTAAATTCTAGGGTCCTTAAATGCTTCACTGTCTGCAAGGAAGAAAATAAGTTTTATTTCTTTATAATGTCATGAGTGAATTTTATAATAAAACCAAAGTTTCTTTCAAAGGAGAAAACTCCTTAAAATTAAGGCCAGTAGCTCTTTCAATATATTATTCAATCAGTAGTTGCCAATTAAATGTCATAATTATATACCCCTGAAAAAATGTTGGAGAATATAACTTGCCTTTTAAAATGTTTTGAAATATTTTGAAATCTATCATAATTCATACTGAACAGAAGCAGCTAAAAATACCATAAAACTGATTTTTAAATCAAATACTCAAGAGATGCTATGAGTTAAGTAAGTGTCTGCACAGGAAAATCTTCCAACCATCCCATCTAAGCCTCTTCCATATCTCACACAGGAGTCTGTCATTCTGCCTTGTGTGCCATGCTATCCTTTGGAGTGTCCTAAAAGGGCAAGGCTTCTGCTTCCCAGGAAGCTTCTCAACATTCCCCCATCAAAATATCTTACATTATTTACACTATGCTTCTGAGGACTCACCTACAGTTGAGGGGGAATGGTAAAAGGGTGGGAGTTGAGGGATCCTCTTGACCTATGTGTCAGGGCCCCCCAGAATGTGCATACAAATCATAAACTCCCCTGAAAGGTTAGTGTGGGGGGTGGGGCCAGAGGATCTGTATGTCCGGAGGGCTAGTGAGGTTCTGGGGACGGACAGCTGGACACACACCAAGGGAGCTGGACCCGACTAGACCCAGGGTACCAGCAGAGAGATTCGGCACAAGTAGGAGTATCCTACACATCGCCAGTGCCTAAGTGAAGGGGTCAGCTGCCCTACTGATCCTTGGGACACTTTCACTCCAGACTCCTCTTCCTGAAGAGGAGTGAAGGGCATCTCCAGGCCATCCTGGGTCTTGGAAGTTGTACACCCATCAGTGAACAAGACTCTGTGGCCCCTGGGTGACAAGGACAAAGCTGTGGGTTGGGTCACTGCTGGAGGAGAGGTGGTTCAGTAAGAATTGAATGGCTTCACCCACTGGCATTCTCGGTCCAAAGTGTTCATAAGCATTCCCGGCCTCCCAGCAAGGATTCAGCCGACAGCTGCAGGAACCATCTCACTCAGCTCAGTTCCTGCAAAATGCCCCCCAGTGCTATGCAGGGGGTATACACTTGTAGAATATGTAGAGAATCAAAATACAAGAGGGCCAAGAACCAAAATGCCCACTGTAAAAATTACAAACACTTATAATCGTACTTAACACTTAAGAATACATTATACACGTAGCAGTGTATTTTTAATAAAAACTACACAGAAGAAATACCTAAGAGTCCTTGTACTTGGCAAATGCAGAACATAAACAAGAGTTATCAACAGAACTTGTGGCTTCCCCTACTTCTCTTCTCTAATATTATGGGTCTTTTCCCCCGCCTCACCAGAGACCTCTCATATTACATTTAAAGGCTTTCGTCACTAGGAAAGCCACAGATAGGCCAAGAGTGAGCAGCCTTCAGATTTACCCCCAGACTGAAAGGTTCCCGTGAAGTGTGGCAGCTCACACGGGCCAGAGGGCACTGAATAGCTCATTGTTCACTTACGTGAGGCTGAACATCCAACAAACAAACTTTGTTTTTAGCAAGGACAGACCGCACGGAGTCTATACTTGTGCCATAGTAGTTGTTTTTATATTCACCGTATTCAATAAACCTGTAGGAAATCAGATCTGCATCAGAGCCGTTCGTGAAATAATTACAGATATAAGTGGAAAGACATAATTCAAATATATAAAAAGATTTTTGCTGAACATGTAAATTTTTTTTTTTTTACTGTGTTCAATAAAATAAGTAGGGCCAAGTCCTCCAGAATGTCAATTTTTAAAAATCTTGTATTTTACATTTTCAAATCAGTAACACTTGCTTGTATTACACTTAAGCAGAAAGAAAGTACTTCAGTCCAGCAGTACTCTGTTTTCCATCACCTCTTTTTCAGAACTAATGCAATGCAATAAAACAGTGAATAAGCCAAACAATAGAAACTACTGAAATTTCACTGCACACTGCAGAATAACCACACTCGGCTTTCCAGCGACAGGAGGAACTGCTTGGTGGCTAATGGAAGCAAGGCAGCCGATTACGTGCTATAAAAACACAATCGCTGTGCCAAACGCGGAAAAAAGCATTTTGATGTTTCAATAAAATCCCCAAATCCTGCATTAAAACACACACTGCTCCCTGATACCCTAAAATATTCAGGCTGAGCAAATGGAGGACCTGGGGAGGTGGGGCAGTTAGAGCTGGCCGGAGGACATGGTATAAGCAAGGCGACTAACAGCATTTTAATTTGCTGAAGAGCCAGTGAGGGAGAGAGATGCGTGTGGAAGATGATGGTGGGACTAGGGATCTAGTACATCGTTGTTAGTTTTTTTAAAGAAAATTCTATTCAAATTCTGTATTAAGACTCAGGGAGTGGGGTGGAAAGAGGCCACAATAACATATAAGCAACATTCCCTCATCCTTCAAAGTAACTCCTGCCCATTTAACTCATCAGAAACATAGCAGCTCTAGGTTATTAAAACATTACAGCTGAAGACTGGTAACACCTACTAACCGAATCCTCACCTTTTCATCTGTCTCAAATATTATAAAACTTAAAATTTATTTCAAACACAAGGGAACCCTCAGTTGCCTAAAACCAGATAAGAGAGGCCCAGGCTTAAAAACAACAGTCATACAAAAACGCTCCACATACTTGTTATTTTGTACATCTGTCTCAAACAAATGCTTGGAAATGAAAATATATTCCACACCATCGCTCTCCTGGCTTCTTCTTGCTCTGGTTGTGTCTGCGATTTAATTAAAAAGAGTTAATGAAAGTTGACATCAGCCATCCTAAGGAAGATAGCAAAAAGGAAATCATCATGTATTGAGGTATTTTTCAGGGCATTTAGGTGACTCAGTAGGTTGAGCATCTGCCTTCAGCTCAGGTCACGATCCCAGAGTCCTGGGATCTAGTCCCACATGTCGGGCTCCCTGCTCAGCGGAGAGCCTGCTTCTCCCTCTGCCCCTCACCCTACTTGTCCTCGCTTATGCTCTCAAATATATAAAATCTTTAAAAAAATAAAAAATAACGTATTTCTCATAAACCAGATTTTAAAACTTAGAAAAGAGCAAATTAGCTAATAAAGTGTCATTCAGATTTTCTACCAATAGGAAAGTACAGCACTGATTTGAATATGGATTCAAAATTAAATAGCACTGTATCTGTGCTATTCATTATTTTGAAGGCACTCTACTATGTTAAATAAAAATGGTATTTTAACACTTAAGGGAAAACTCCTATCTTTTGCAAATAATATGCTTATTATCATATTTACTGATCGTTATTCACTAAGCAAGTCTAACGCCTACAAGGTTGTAAGGTAAATGCCGAAATTATTTTACTGTCTTCACACACAACACATAGTGAGTATGTCATCAATGTTTTGTTTTACTGACTGAATTAGAAAACCTCTATGTGCTATTCATTCCTCCATTGCAAAATTATAAACACCTCAGAATACTACTGAACTTCCAGACGTGCAGTAATGTTGCCTGTCTGCGACTAAGTTATAATGGAGCAGAAAATACAGGGTTAACTATAAAAACATAACCAAACCTCCGGAATTGCATGCTGATTGAGGAAGCGCAAGTAGCCCATCTTTCCTGCGGATTATAGCTAAAAACTCTGGGCCCAGCCAACTTTGCAAAGAAATAAAGCAGGGAGACTGGAGAGGGATCAACCTGCAGGGGCGGAGTTTTAACTTCTATTGCTTCTTAGCTTTGCCCGAGTGTGGGAACATTTACAGAGCATCATGGCATTCTGTGTGACTACATTTCCAGGAGCCCTTTTTTGGTGAAAAGAACCAAGAAAAAACAAAAAAGCCCTTACAAATTGAAGAGTATGGAGGTAATTCAGGAAGACTGATGGAGATATTCTAAAGCGGAAGGAATCAATACCAGCTGAAGAATAACCCCTGAGCTATGCACTTGGCAGGTCAGACTCCAACTGACACAGCAATGTTTTCAGACGCGAACTAAGATAAGAACAAGTCTCAGCCTAACCCGTGAATAAGAGCAGCACAGAACACCCCCAAACCAATGCAGAAAAGGCTTAGAGAACTGAGCTGAGCTGTGACGATGCACACAAGTATCAGACTCATCCCTGAGCCACACGTGACAGGGAAGACCCAAACCAGTATAGCAAAGACTTAACAGAATTGAACTCCGATTGAAACCACAACTCACAGGAAATGGAACAGAACTTACGTTGTAAACATAAAAGGGTGATTACTTGCTAAAACAAAAACATTCTCCAAAATGTTGACGCCCCTCCAACACCTCCTGCTTTACTCACTTTCAGAGTGCTCAGAGAGCTGTCTCTGGCCGAGCTGTAAGTGTAACCAGCAACACGGATGGGCTATATCCAGGTTTGCACTTGCCAGATTTGCACTGAAACTTCTCAGGGTCTTTGTTGGTTTTTAAAGTTAATCCTAATTTTCTGCTCCACTGTAAGCAGGACCCAGAGTTGATAAAACGTTGCATTTGTAATACCTCCAATGCAATTTAAAAGAGCCAACAAATTTTGACCAATTCTCAAGGGGAAAATGGCAGATGGCAACTCTGAATGATCCAGAAGTTAGAACTACTGGACAAAGACTTTAAGGCAACTATTTGTAACCGTGTTTTGTAGGGTAAAGGAAAACACATCTGAAATGAATGAAAATATCAATTCTCAGAGAAATAGAAACTATAAACAAGAACCAAATGGAAAGTTTAGAAAAGAAATATACAGTATCTAGCAGAAACAAGTTACTAGATGGGTAAGTTGCTAGAATGGGCAGGACAGAGAAAAAAGCTAATGAACTTGAAGGTAGATCAATGGAAATTATAAAATCTGAGCAACAGAGAAAAAAAAAAGATTGAGAAGATATAAATGGAAACCGAGGGACCTGTGTAATGTGTAATCTGGATGTCAGAGAAGACAGAAAAGATACTGAGGCAAAAAAAAAAAAATGTTTTTCAAGAAATAATGGCCCCAAACTGCTAAAATTTGGTGGAAGACATACATTTCACAAATTTCAGAAGCTCAACAAATCTCAAATAGATAAATTCAGAGAAAAATCATGCTAGATAGCAACAAAACCAGAGTACTAACAGCCAAAGATAAAGAAAAAAATCTTGAAAGCATCTAGTAAAAACCAATACAGTACATATAAGGAATAATGATTTCTGTGACTACAGATTATAAATCATAAAAACAAGGACTCAGTGAAATAATATCTACACTTAAAGTACTGAAAGATAAGAACTTCACCTAAAATATCCTTCAGGAGAAAAAGGCAAAACATCTTTTCAGAAGGAGAGAGACTAAGAGAATTCATCAGCATATCTATTCTAAAAGAATATTCAAGGAAGTTTTTAGGCTAAAAGAAGGAAGTTTTATCTTCAAAGAATGAAGAAAGAGCAACAGAAAGAATAGTTGAGTAGAAACAGAAGTCTATTTTTTTCCCTCTTACATTCCATATATATATGTGTGTATATGTATATGTGTATATATATATGTATATATAATATAAACATACTGTATATATAGATGTGTATATATAGATGTATATATGTATATGTGTATATATATCTAATAGAGACATATTGTGTATATAAAATTATAGACATGTTATATAGTTATATATATTATAGACATTATATGTATGATTTATAACAGACATATATAATAAACATATATATATATATATATAAACTGATTTAGAAATTGTAATATCTAGTAGAGTTTTCAGTGTATGCAAACATAACCTTGTCAACTAGCACAAAAAGGACTAGGGAAAAAGACTCATATGATTGAAAGGTTTCTATGTATTATGTGAAATGGCATGAAGTTAACTCTAGACTGTGACTGGTTAGACATTAAGCATGTTGTAGTCCCTAGAGCAACCAGTAACAAGTAATGCAAAGACGTATAAGCAGAGCACCAATGGGTAAATTGAAATGGAACATTAATAAACATTCAAATAATAAAAAAGGAGAAAAAAAATAAAAAGCAAAAAAAAAAAAACCCAAAAACCCAGGATAAATAAAAACATAATAGTAGCTTAAATTTGATCATTTCCACAATTCAATAAACGTTAACTGGTTTATATACTCAAATTAAAAGGCAGAGAGAACAGGTGAAAAAAGCAAGACCCTACTACATGCTGTCTATAAGCTTGTAAGAAAGACACATTAAATATAAAGACACAAATAAGCTGAAAGTGAACAGATGGAAGACAGTGTATGTCCACGTAAACAATAAGGATAAGGCAGGGGCACCTGGGTGGCTCAGTGGGTTAAGAATCTGCCTTCAGCTCAGGTCATGGTCTCAGGGTCCTGGGATCGAGCCCCGCATGGGGCTCTCTGCTCGGCAGGAAGCCTGCTTCCCCCCCTCTCTCTACGTGCCTCTCTGCCTACTTGTGATCTCTCTCTCTGTGAAATAAATAAAATCTTAAAAAACAATAAGGATAAGGCAGCTAAAGTGGCTACTTCAGTATCAGACAAAAGAGACTTCAAGAAAAAGTATGATCAGAGATAAAGAAGAATGTTTCATAATAATAGACACTTATAACAATTCTAAATTTGTACACACATAATAACAAAACTTTAAAGTACATGAGGCAAAAATGGGCTTAAGTTAAATGGAGAAATGGACATGTTCACCATCAGAATAGATTTTACTGCCTCTTGATAACTGACAGAACTAGACAAAATATCGGTAAGACATGGGATCTAAACACCACCAACCTCAGGGGTCTATTTAATACCTGTATAACACTGCATCCAGTAACTGCAGAAAACACATGATTTTCAAGCATAGATGATGCATTTGTCAAAAGGTAGACCATATGCTGGCCCATAAAAAGTCCCAGTCAATTTAAAAGAATCCAAATCATATGGAGTAAATTCTCTAACCAAAAAGTAATGAAAAATCCATAATAAGATATCTAGGAAAACCTCAAATATTAAATAACACACTTCCAAATAAATATGAATCAAAAATGGAACAATGAGCAAATACTGGGAAGTACACGACAAGGAAAATACAACCTATCAAAGTTACGGGATAGAGAAAGATAGTGCATAGCAGGAAACTTATGCCTTTACGTACTTCTATTGGAAAAGAAGACCTAAACTAAGTGACTGAAAGTTAATCTTAAAAATTGCTAGAGGGGTGCCTGCGTGGCTCAGTGGATTAAACCTCTGCCTTCGGCTCAGGTCATGATCCCAGGGTCCTGGGATAGAGCCCCGCATCAGGATCCCTGCTTAGCGGGGAGCCTGCTTCCCCCTCTCTCTCTGCCTGCCTCTCTACCTACTCATGATCTCTGTCAAATAAATGAATAATATCTTAAAAAAAAATTGCTAGAAAGAAAAGATCAAAGTAAACTCAAGCCAAGGAGAAGTGAATAAGAACAGAAATTAACAAAATAGAAAAAAATTAAGAAAAATGACAAAAATTTAAAATCTAATTACAGTGATTAAGAAAAAGAGAACAAAAATCACCAAATAAATAATGAAATAAGAGTTATTACCAGAGATCCTAGCAACAATAAAAAGGATTAGAGGATATTATGCATACTTTATGCAGCATATTTGCCAATTTAGATGACATGGATAAATTTCTTGAAAAGTATGAAGAATCAAAATTGAAACAAGAGGAGACAATATCTGAACAGCCCTGTTATCTACTAAATAAATCCATTATATAAAGATTTTATTTATTTGAGAGAGCACACACAAGCAGGGTGAGGGCCAGAGA